ATTCCCTTGAAGTCAGTGACAATGAAATGAGAAGTTTGTACAAGGACAGAAAAAGGGATAGAGCAGGTGACAGGTACCACAGATACTACTGGTGAGATGGCTTCATTAATGGCCTGGTAGTCTTGAATTAGCCAGCATGGTCTATCTGTTTTCTTGACAGCTAGAGTAAGTGTATTACAGGGGATGCTTCTTTGCGGGACACCAAGAATATTTGTTTCCAGTATTTGCTTAGGGCTTAACAGGCTCCTGTGCTCGCTTATATTTGACCTTATTCCATTGGCTTTGAGTTAGAAGCAAAGACAAAAACACAGCGACTGGAAGTCGTCAGCCAGATTTGGACCATTTGGGCTGAATGCTGCAGAGGAGAGGGAGTGAGTTTGGGGTAGCTGGGCATTTGGTAAAAAGGAGGCCTAAGGAGGAGGGACATAATCTGCAAGATCAAAGTCCAGAAGTTGGTCTTCAGGGGGAAGAGATGGGAATTTTAGATTCTAGTTTGTCTTTGAATGGAGTGGACTTTCAATGCAGTAACAGGATCTGAGATGTAGTGCAAGGCTGACAGAGAGGGATAGTTATAGAGGCAGAAGAAAGCTTGAATGTAAGCGATTTCTTACCATTTGCCTTGGCATTCTATGAAGTTCTCTAAAGATTTTAGGGTCAAAGGCATCCTTTTGGGCCATTGATGGCTATAATACACTCTGCATTATGGCCAAGCATTATTACAAAGGAAAACTGATTGCTTGTGTTCAATATAATCCCCAGGATAAAGAATTTGAATTTATAAAACAACCAAAGTGAGAATCTTTAGGTAAGTGAGATTGAGTAGTACTCTGAAGAAAAGAAAGCAAATATCCTTGTGAATTCCATTTTCCCTTTTGGGAAGTATGGTCAAAGCCACAGTGGAGAGCACAACTGAATCCTTACCATCTTAAGATTCAGCAGGTCTGGGCAAACCTGATCTAACACTAGGTGTAGCTGGAGAGTTTTCTCTCCAGGTCCTGCCAATCCCGGCAGTCCAACAGCCCACTTATAAAATAAACGCACAGACGTTTATATTATTTAAACTGTTTGGCCTAATGGCTCAGGCTTCTAGCTATCTAGTTCTTATATCTTAAATTAATTCATTTCTATAAATCTATACCTTGCCACGTGGCTTGTGGCTTATCGGCATCTTCACATGCTGCTTGTCATGGTGGCAGCTGGCGGTGTCTCCCCCACTCAGCCTTCCACTTCCCAGAATTCTCTTCTCTCCTTGTCCTGCCTATACTTCCTGCCTGGCCACTGGCCAATCAGTGTTTTATTTATACAGAACGATATCCACAGCACACTAGGGGCTTTGGCTTATTGGCACTGAGATGGGCAGACATTTTTGGTGAATACCTGGGGAAGACTGGCACCGGAGAATAAAAATGTCCGGCAATGGAGAACTGTGGGAGCCTTGGTATGACAAGAAGTCCTAGTGTTGAAAATGGAGGATGCAGCGGCAAAGCTGGGAAAGGCTCCCCAAGGCTTCCTCTCAAATATTTTATTTTCACACCAATTAGATATTAGAGAGATAGGTGGGGTTGAGAGAGAGGCAAAAGGGTATCTTCTTTCTCAGACAAAAGATCGTTAAGCATTCTGGCCACAGCAGGGCTCTGAAAGTAGAACTTCAGGCTGTGAGAGAAGATAAAAAGATTCTCTTGAGGTCTTTACAAGAAGGTAGAGAGGAAGTAGGTCTTGTATGGCAGGGAATCGGGGTTTGTTAATCAGTCAACTGTGAGATGGACCACACGTAACTTAGACCGTATGATAGTGGTCATCATCGCAGAGATACTGGATAGGCACGTGAGACTGGTTATGTGTGCCCACAGTCAAGCAGCCTTGGGTCCTGGGAGGCAGAGGTTTGAGGTTTGTTTCCAGCAATACTTTCTCCTTTCCAGTGTGAGAAGTGTTTTTTACTAACAAAGGTAAGCAGCTCACCAGCTGCCGACATTCCATAAATCTCCCTGCCTTGTAAAGTTTTATGCAAAGGAATTTGAGTCTTTTAATCTCCCTCACTTAGTAAAACTTTTCTCTACCCACAGCACCCCTCACCCATATTCCTAGAATAAGCGAGCTCTTCTCCTTCTATCCCACTTCATTTCATTTGCATTGGTTCTTTAAAAATCAGCCAATTGTGAAAGACGGTGCCCTGTTCCACCAACGGGGAAAAGCCACAGTCGCCACCAGTGCTAGAAAAAAAAAAAAAAACACTAAGTGAACTTCCTGCCTGGAAGTGCTTGTGAGCCCAGTTTACCCCTCCTTCGAAACGAAATTTCCTTGTCCAGTTACTTTCAATTTGTTACTGCATTTGTTTCTTGGACACGGAGAGTGCTTCCAATGCCTGCTTAGTGACTCGTAGGCTTGGGTGCTCCCGAATGTAGCTTTATCTAGTTGGCTTTGAGTTTGAAGCAAAGACAAAAACCGTGAAGCTGGAGGTCGTGGTCCAGACCCTGACGGTTGGGCTGCTGCTGCGGCTGTTGCAGAGGTGGTGTTGGGCTCACGGGACGGGCAAGTCAGAGGCTGTGGTCTGGGTTCCAGCCGCACAGGTGTCCCAGTCTGTGTCCCTTTTTGTCACCAGTCTCTCACCGTTTTTTGTTCCATGAATCCTCTCATATCATTTGTTTCCAACTAAGGTAGGGTGAAAAGTTAGGGAATAAAGGAGACGTGGGAAGAGAACGGAACCTCTCACCGTGCCGTTTTTGCTGGCTGAGGCTCCAGAACTGCAGCACAATGGGAAAAATCAATGTGGCTTGCAGAGACAATCTTCCCTTCCTCTTAGAGGGATCTCAAAAAGTACCATCAAGTCAGGGTGTATATTAACCATATCAACACTCCTCTCATCCCCAAAATGGACCAATGTGTCTTGTAAAACTGCCTCATAATTTAATTTACCAAAGGAAATTCTTTAGGATAATGTATTTTTTAACCTCATCAAATTTACTTCACCTTTAAACTTTAATATTCAAGTGTATTTTTAATTTATTCCTTGATAATTTCCTGCAAGTATATATAGTCACTCATCAATCCATGTTTTCCAACTCCTCCCAGATCTCAGTCTTTATTTTTTATTTTATCTAAATAGTCCACTGAGTTTAATTAGAGCTTCCTAAATGTGATATGTTCACAAGTGTAGGGTCTTTCACTGGAGCATTGGTCAGCCTACCAGGGGCCTTTTCCCTAAAGAAAGCTGACTTCCTCCCCTAGAAGCCATCAACTATGGATGACTCCTCAGGTAGGTGTGGGAGTTCATGTGTCCCTCCTGAAATCCTTCTGTGATGTTGGCTGACTTGCTCTTGTGGAGGCACATGTGCACAAGTACCCAAGCGCAGGCAACCAACCATAGCTACTGTGAGTTTATGAGGGCAGATATCTTGCCATGTCCAGAAGACAACGTTTCATCTCGGTGCCCTCTGACCTCTGGTTCTTACACTGTTTCTTCCCCCTCTTTAGTGCTGTTCTAGAACCTTTTGGAGAGGTATTACGATATAGTTGTCACCCTTACGGCTGCACACTCTACAGATTCTTATTCTCTATACTTGGGCCTGTTAGTTATTTAGCGGAGCTCTTACCCTGCGAGGAAATGTCACAAAACACGACAGAATCCACTAACAAGAGTTTTATTAAGATAGGAAAGAGAGACAGACGTGACAGGACCGTGAAAAGACACGTGAATAAAGATGGAGTTGGGAACATGGTGCCGGCTTATAAAGGCTGGGCCAGGCCTCTGCACACAGGCCCATGTGGCTATTCCATGCATGCGCATAGATCCCATGGTTGCGCTGCGTGCTTTACGCAACCACGCAAAGCCATGGGATCCTGGTCATAGGAGACATTTTGACCCGGAAATGGCTATTTTGACCTGGAAATGGCTAGGCGGAAGTGTCTAGGTCCGCCATGCATGCGCAACCATGGGGGCGTATTGTGAATCCCTATCAGGGCCAGTTGTGAGTATTAACTTCTGCTCACTGCACAAAGAAGCTTCTACAAGGGGAGGGACGGTGGGCCAGCTGCATTCTTCTAAGAGTACAGAGAGAGAGAGAGTTCTTTATTTACAAGGCAGTTTAATACTATGTCTAGTTTAAACTTGGCTTACTTTGTGAAACTGATCGTAAAATATATCCTTTCAACAATATAACTTCCAAAGCGACAAAATCATTCACATTGCTATCAAGGCACTGGAGCATGTTTGTGGTGAGGATGCAGTGGAACCACTGAACTAGACCATTCCATGGGTAGAAAGAAAGGTTTATTGGTGGTCAAATCGCCAAGACTATCTCTCAGGTTGGGGGAGGAGGGAAGAAGCAAAGTGGCAGAAAAATAAGCAGATTTTGTAGGACAGTCAACAGGGTGGGGGGTCTTTGGGCTGATACAGGCTATCCAGATTGACCAGGAATGAGGCAATTAGATGCCCTTGCCAAGACAGTTGACCTTTAGGGGTGGGTTAAGGGGGGTTCTTAGAGTGCTAAGATGGGTTTCTTTACAAGATCTGCTTTCCTGTAAACAGAAACCGCTTCAGGAGGTTCCTCAGGATGCTAAATTTAGGCTTCTGTTTCCCTTGTCAGAGCCCTTCTGTTAAGGACATTGTCACCAATACAGCCATTTTAGGGGTCTAGCATTGACCTAATATTTGTCTTGCTCACTGATGTCCACACTTAAACCTGCAGTGTGTATTTCTACTTAATAAACCCAATGCTGCTTCATGCTGACTGATCCTAATTCTTTGGTATAGGCAAAATCTGGCTTTACCTGAGTGGACAAGCCCCTCAGACTGCAGCTGGAGGTGTCACGTTTTATATATGCTGTTGACACAACTATACTTAGAAAACATTGGAAAGTATAATTATACATGTTGTTTTTTTTTTCATTGAAAATACGAAATATTGGTTTACTTTACAAATTACTGGTAGGTACTGTAAAACATGTTCTTTCTCTGTTTAATTCTTCTGTGTTTAATTCTCTCTGTTGTTGTGTTTTTGCAGAAGATCTGGATGATTTGAGAATGGAGGGCGTAACCACCCTGGTACTTTCGGGGAGCAAATTTAACCAAGGTCGTCCTACTCACCCTGCCGAGCCACAGGCCAAAGTCACACTGAACATCTGCTCAAGGTGTGCCAGGTAAAACATATAGTTGGTGTGTGGTGTACAGAATCATCATCTAGGTCTTTTTGAATCCAAGATTTTGGAGCAAAGAGTGTACTCTGTGCTAATAACACATTTTTCTCCTAATTACCTTTTTCTGACACCCTGGAAGGAGTTAGTTTTTCAGTATATCTTTTTGCCCAAGGCCAGTCTGACCAACAATGAATCAAAGAGATTAGATTGTCTTCACTTCACAGCTGGAGACTGTGTTGAGTCTTTCAGTCTCCTCAGTTCATTGCCTGTCTGCTCTTCATTTCTCTTTCAAGAGAAGACTCAAGGGGGCTTTGAACATTCAGAGCCACCTTTAAAGCACCTGCCTAAAAAGTGTTTGTTCAGGTATAGTTCAAGTTCTGGTATGACTGGCCTTTGAGCCTGGCCCTCATCCTGTTCACCTCCTGGTAAGAATTTAATCAGTTTGAGGCTTCCCGGTTTTAGCAGCTGGAAGCAATCTTTGCTTACACTACATGTGGCCCAAGAATCAGCTTGGTTACTGCCAAGTCAGCTGTGGGCTAGAAGCAACTCACCAAACAGCACCAATTCGCTTTTTTGTAGGAACTAAATCTCATTTGCAAAGGGCTTTTAAGTCTGTTTAAATGATAAAACAAGCCTCCTAACCCTTATGTAAATGGTTCAGTTTAACAAGGACAATGCAGTAGCTGGCCAACTTTATCTCCCTTCTTTGTGTCTGGCTGCTCTATTGTGCTGCTTGAGAGAGGATTAGTGGCTGGAAATAAGGAAGGGGGTAAGGGTAGGCAAAGCAAATCGGATTGTTGTAGCTTTTCCTCTTTGGCTTTACTCCTTGGAATTTTTATTTTAATTGTCACTGGCTTAGAAACACATAAAGGAAAACTTCCAGAAAATCAAGGGAAGTTGTTTGAGGATATTAAGAGAAACACTAAAGCTCAGTGAAAACAGGAACAGGGACATCGCTTCAGAAGTGGAACACTTAGGGCAGTGTCTTTATATTTTTATTAGGGCTGTGAAGAAAATTATTAATTTTGTTTGTTTGTTTTTGTGTTTCTAGACAGTTTCTCTGGGTAGCCCTGGATGTCCTGGAACTCCCTCTGTAGACCAGGCTAGCCTCAAACTCAGACATTTGCCTGCCATTATAGGTCATCTATGGAAGAGAGTTCTTTGGCTTTTTGTCTTAAACTTTATGTTATGTTTCTCTAAGTACAATTTGACTGGATTGGGCTGATGCTTGGCGTTTCATAACATTTATAGGTGTGTTGGATCAAGATGCGTGTTCCTTTCCAGACAGGAATGCCTGTCAAAATATCTTGCTAAACTATTAAAGACTGAGTTGAGAAAAGATCAAGCACGTGCTTAGCTCTTCATCATTCCACTTCCAAAATGATAGAGTTGGATTGCAATCACAAGCAACCTGTGTTTAAAGTGAGTCTGTAACTGAACTTATTCAAGAAATATTCAACTAAGTAATATTTTGGTTTCCAATGTGTCAGGAACAGAATGTAGATGGAAGTACTTACAGGGCCAGCATCAACACAAGAGATTTACTAAAGAACATCTGCTGTATGAGTGACAGAAATGCAGAGGGTGGATTCTCAGAGAGAACTGCCTCCTGAGAGAAATGGAGGGCCTATTATGATAGTTAAGAGCTTACTTGGTCTTACTTCTGGAGTCATTTGTGAGGGATCCTTTGTGAGAGGGTAAGAAGCAGACATCTCACTATCTTCTTAGACTGTAAATTTGTCCATTCAGGGCTCAGCTCCATGGCCAAGTCTGGGTTAGGACCTAATTGAATAAGGCATTGAAAAGAGGAGGACAGGTGGTCCTGAGGCCGACACCCTCTTGCCTCAGGTGAGAATAACTTGAAAGGGGGCTGTACTAGGATCCAAGACTTACAGTGACCTCCAAAGCCACCCCAGGGCAATGTCACAGAATGAATTTCACAGACAAGGTAGGTTGAGTTTCAGAAGATAATTTTGTTATAGGTGATAGCATACGAGAAAGGGGGCAGGCAGAACTCATGCCTACGGGAGTGGATTCCAAGGGAGAATTGCCATCATTAGAAGTAAATCTGGAGTTGCAAAGAAAGAGACCTCAACAGGGACAAACTCTATATCTGGTCAGAAGTGCAGGCTACTCACCAAAGCGGAAGAGCAAATGAGCAGAGACCGGAAGTTCAGTTGGTTTTGTTCTAATGTAAGGGGTGACAGTGTTGCTCCCCTATTGGCTAGGGTCCCACCTCACAATCATTTGTGAAAATTAAAACATTTCAGTTCTGAGAATGTTGCAAGGACTTTGTGAAAATAAAAGTTTTATGAGGTGGGAGAGATAAAAAGATTTAAATTCCTTGTTATAATAAAACCTTTTACAGTGTAATAAAACCTTTTTCTTTTACAGAAAAGACAACTATTTAATTGTTGTTTTTTATACTCCCAAGGAGTCCATCTAGGGATTAATAAGGCTTTACCAGGTTCAGGCATGCAGAGATGACCTGGTCAATCCAGTTGTCCTAGAATGTCTTCATGATCCTCTCTACCATGGTGTCTGGACTGGACTGCAGTTTTGGGTACAGCTTAGGGGACCAGGGAAGTGTCTGATCACACACAGCTTCCAGGCTGCTGTGGTCATTCATTTCTATGGAAAAGGAGAAGAAAGATTGAAAACAAGAAATCAGAACATGAAACAGTTCTTCTAAACGATTTTAGGATTTCTGTCCTCTGGCCAGGATAGAAATGTTCATAGAAACAAGGACATTTTCAGTGTCTAGCCAACACAGAGCTGGCTGTCAAGGATGAGACTCAAACCAGCTTCTTTCTGTGGTTCCGACCCTACACTTCCCGACCAGCTTCTTTCTTCTGTTCCCAGAAGCAGCACAAGCTGCTGGATCAGGCTCCAAGCAGCCAGGGTCCCATTGCTAAAGACTGAGATATTCCTGCTTTCTTGTGTGTCTCAATAGTTGTATTTTAGCCTTCACACTATCCATTAACAAATCTTGTAAGGATGTCCTTAACTTGTGGTTTTCAGAAAATTCTGAATTAATGAATAGTATTATCCTACCCTAATAGATAAGGAAAACGAGACATAAGTTGATTAAATAACTTGTTAAAATAGTATTAGTCACTGAACAAGGCTGTTAATTTTAGGTGCAAACTCCTAATGAACTTTCAGAGTGTTCTTTCTTTTCTTCAGCTAAAGTTCATAGCATCCAGAAGCATGCTTGTCTACTCTCTTACCTCCTCTCCCCTTTAATTTTTTTTTAAATGAAAATAAATTTTTTCCCTCACATAAAATATCCTGATTACAGTTTCCCCTCCCTGTACTTTTCCCAGTCCCTCCTAACCACCCCTCCCATCTGGAGTCACTCTCTGTCTGTCCTTAGAAAATAAACAGGTTTCTAAGGGATAATAATAAAATAAAACAAAAAAAAAAAACTTAATAAGATAAAAAGAATTTTAAATAAATTTAATAAGATAAAACAAAGTAAGATTAAAAAAAGAATTGGACAAAACAAACGAACGGAAGGAAAAGAACCCAAGAGAAAACACGAGGCTATGAGACCCACTCATTCAAACACTCGGGAATCCCACAAAAATCACTCAACAGGAAGCCATAATACATACACAGAGAACCTGGTGCAGACCAGTGCAGGTCCTGTGCATGCTGCTTCAGTTTCTATGAATTCGTGTGAGCTTTGCTTAGGTGATTCAGAGGGCCTTTTTTTCTTTATGCCCTCCATTTGCTCTGGCTCTTACAATCTTTCTGTCTCTTCTTCATGGGTTTCCCTGAGCTCTTAGGGGAGAGATTGGATGGTGACATCTCATTTATGGCTGAGTGTTCCATGGTCTCCCGCTCTCTGCATGTCTAGCTGTGGGTCTTTATATTCACATCTGCTGCAGGAGGAAGCTTCTCTGGTGATGGCTGAGCAAGGCACTGATCTATGAGTACAGCAGAGTATCATTTTATTGCTACTTTTTTTCTTAGAATAGTAGCACCTGGTTTTACCCTAGGTCCCTGGGCTATCTAGTCTCAGGTTTTTGGTTGCATAAGCATTGACAGATACAGGTTTCATCTTGTGGAGTGGGCCTTAAGTTAGATATTGCTTGGTTATTCAAACAAGCTCTGTGCCACCATTGCCTAGCAGGTAGGACAGCACTGTAGATCAAAGAGTTTGTGGTTGGCTTGGTGTTTATGATTCTCTTTTGGTAGCATGCAGAGGACCTTCCCTTATCAAAGACACTAGAGCAGAGTGGTGAAGGCTCTATGTAGGCACCAGCTCGATTTCTCATGTTTGATGATTTGTGTGAATGTTGTCTTCAGCAATGGGGCCTTGCTGTCAGTTTGTGGAGAGCAACTTTCCTGAGAAGGGCTTTCCTGTCCAAGTGATTGACAGGACCATTTGTGATACTTAAGGGATGAGTCAATAGTATGTCTTGTACTCTTACACTCTTTAGAACAGTTTAGAATGTCATGTCTCTACTGGGGACTTGAGTTGTCCCTCAGATCCAGTTTTTTTTTTCTTAAACAAACAAAAACATAAGGAAAAGAAAGTGTTAAAAAATCGAAGGAAAATTGTAGAATGTATCTATAAAACCCTCTTCTGAGCAATGGGCTTCAGCAATGGGCTTCAGCAATGGGCTTCACCTTTCTCCTCTTTGTGTGGAATTGTGTCTTAATGTTGGGGATAATTGTGATATTTCCAGCTGCCTTCTACATGGTATTGCAGATTCTAACAAGTGCATTTGTGATACTTTTCCCCCCTTAAATTAGTATGTTCTTGGGGACATAGGAGAGGGTTACAGAGAAGATTTTGAGGAGTCTGTCTTTCATGATCTCCAAGTCAGCTAATGTTTACCTACATGAGAGAAGATAAGCCTCCTCATTCTGTCCTTCCCCCCCTCCCTTCCCCTCTTTGTCCTCCTCCTCCTCCTCTCCAGTGCAAGGGACCAAACCCCGATCCAGAGGCTTTGTGTTTACTAACAATGTGTTCTATTCCACAGCTGTGCTAC